TAGATAAACTAAGGCCTTTTTAATAACAATCTTCAAGGGAATTACAAGTTCTTTCTAACAGTAAACAAGGGGAGAATTCAGGAACAGAGCTTACATTCCAAATGTTTACAGCCATCAATCAGCTTATTATTTCCTTCGTCCTTGGTTTTCAAAAGCGCATTTTCAAAGATATAACCATTGCTCTTTTAAAATTCCTCTATTTTGTCTCGTTTACCAAAGATATATCTGCAATATCAGTGGCCCGACATAGCAACTCGGCTTCCGTCCCATTCACACCGCCGTAACATAGTTTCCCTGTGCGTTTTCTATATGGTCATTGTTCTGATGAGGTTTCCTTTAGTGTAAATAGACTTTATTAAGCGCAGTATTCCAGGGTTATTGAAAAGTAACTCCCCATACTTATAATTTATTTATTAACTATAATTTTTACAAGAAATGGATATGAGAGAAAAACGTTCAGCATGAGGTTTTATTTAAAATTCGTTATGGGAACCAGATTTCTCGAACCGCACAGACACCGAGTCATCTGATTTCACCAGGAATTCTTATGGTATAAAAGACCTATTTTTTTTGTATTCGCCCTTCACGTTCTTCCAAAGTCTTGGTTTGGTATAACAGACCAGCTCCTTTACGCATCCCCAACGAAAAGTTCACAGAGTATTAAGTCAGGACTCCTGGCTGGCAACACATACATAAAATAGGGAGTTACTTTTTAATCACACTGTAGATTCGTGGCAAACTCTTATCTTTTTACCTTTGAAAAGGTTATATGGAACCGTAAGTTCTATGTTAACAGTGCCTTCTCTCGCACTTCGCGCTTCTGGAATTCTATACGGCTTCTACAATGACAAATGTTATTTATTATCTTCTTTATACAGGTGACTTTATTGTTCTCTCTCCTTAATAACGCCATTTCTTTTTCTTATATTCTTTCACACGCAGGGATCCCTTGTGTCGTAGTGGCTTTATTGCCTTACTTGAGGTGAAATGTTTAAAAAAGTTAATCATTGACACTTTACTAATCCTCCTTATTTTTGGAAACCTGCAACACGGTGATGTATTTGGTTTCACGAAAATAAAGCATACGGATTTATCGCGAAAAAATGACAATTCAAATAGTTGACCAAGGCAGAAAGAGACGTAAGACAGTGAGAAATAAAAGATGACTGCCAAGAATAATTGATTTCAGTTCTAATGGCGTTTTTTTTACCACAAATATGTACTATTTGCATTCTTCTTTTATGTGTAAATTTGTTTCAGAATGTAGGAAATCACGAGCCTCCACGACTTCCTGTCTTTAACTGTTCTAAGTTGTTTAGGCTATACAATCAGTCTTTATTCTTTTTCTACTTATCCAATCAAAGCAGCTTGTTAAATAGTTTTCTCTTTGTTTCCCCCACACGTTTAATTGCCATCATCATATTCTGTGAGTTAAATTTTTAAGTCCCTCTTTCCTCATGCGTCATAAAAATAAGTATGGATTTTCTTGTTTCTATATTCTTGTTTCGTTGTTCCTATATTCTGTCCATGTTATTCTGAAGATATCTTCGGTAGAACTGCACTTCTGACATTTCAAGGCCCTTCATCATCCTTGACGACATTTTCCAACATTCAGTGAAATGAATACGAATTCCTAAAATGTTAGCCATCATCCAATCTCACCAGAATAGCAAAACAAATACAACTGGTATAAAGTATATATTTTTTCTTTGCACTTGCCACGTGTCCTGGGTATGATGATAAAATACATCCGGCAGCAAGCCCTCTTATCAGGAGGTTTTGAAGAGCGTTGAACCACCTATTAATTGCTGGTGTTCCCAGGTCCACGATGGCCCTCGGTAGTAGCAGCTGTTATGGTTCCAGCTATGGTCAAATAGTTAACTCTCCAACAAGGTTTTAATATCAACGATACTTTTTGAAGAAAATAAATATTACGAGGAATACATTTTTGGAAAAAAAAGTAAATATTACCAGCAATAAAAAGACTTGTCTGCATTAAGTTTGACATGCCGTAAAACAAGCCAAACCATTTGCCATGCGAGACCTCAAATTCTTTTTTTTTATATAAAAATTAAATTATACCAGAGTTAAGAATTTAAAAAAAAATAGGGTTTTAATTAAAATCCTCACAACTGTTTGTTTCAGTTTTTTCTGGCCTGGGTTGTAAAAAGGAAGACGATTACCTTAATTTTCACTGGAATTTTTAATTGTCATTGTCCATTAATCAGAGGCCATGAAGAGAAGAGATCTAGATTTAATTTTCCACGAATTCTCTTGATGTGCGTTTATACATGTTGATTGGGAGGATTTTACCCCTTAAGTCTTAAACTAGAATTTTACCTTTATTTCGGTTGGGAGTATGATTGCATTCCACGAAATGCACCCACGAAAGTAGATATATTCATTTTAAATAACTCTGCATCTTTCTCTTTTTCTTCTTGACACCAGCCTTGAATCTGCTGCAAACTTTCGGCCGCACAAAATGATAGTCGTAAAGTAATTTCCCTCCGTGATATTTTTCTGCGAGAAAACCGAGTGAATAAATGATTGGTGACTAAGAGGTCAGGCTGTGTTTTTGACCCGTGATGCAAACGCCCTAACACTTCGTTGGTGGCCTCCATTAGAGGAATGGCTACGAGGGCATGATGGGAAATTTCATTGCAGGACGAAATTGCAAATTGGGGGGGGTTTGGGGAAAATGGATGCAAGGAGACAATTTCACAGATACATAGACAGACATTCGATGAGTATAAATGCAGTGATCGATACGGGTAAAGAGAAGTCGGGGTGGGGAGAGAAGATGAGATGGAAGACACGCAAAATATAAATAAACAGAAAGATCTGGAGAAATGAAATAAACAAAGAAAAAAAAAGAATGACAGAGAAAAATGAAAAAAGAAATGAAAAAAAAAACTATTTTAAAGATAATTCACTCGAGATGGGTGCCTCGACGTCGGTTAATGGGAAGAAAACTTAAAAAATTAGAATGCTGTAAAGAGTTCCATTTTCACTGAGTGCTCACCAGTTGCTACACTGTACAAGACTATGATACTCTAAATAAATATACATAGATATTCCTGCTTGGTGTTTGAGATAGTTGGTTATTAAATATACTAATTAACTGATGATGACTAGGGATAGCGAAAAACTGTCAAACAGAAAGTGCTAAATGAAATAAGACATAGTTTAAGTTTATTTACATATTTATATTTGAACTATTTTCCCCATCTTTGTTGTTGTTAATCAACGTTTCCATTCATCGTGTCTCCCGGCATTTCTCAGGTGCATATTGATCTGGATAACTTACAGAGAATTCTAAAATGAACCCTTTATTTAATCTACGTATGTAGACTGTCCTGCTTCCAGTGTCCCTGTCTAGGGACATCGTCTAGTTCTTATTTATAGTACTGATCAGTTATTGCTCGATCGTTTCCACTGGGTCCACGTACACACTGCTCGTGAAGTCACAACCATTATGTCAGGAAATTCACGATCCAACGCTTTAATCCAAGAGAATATTGTCCCGTAGGACAATTTCTTGTATTGAAATTGTAGCCTTAATCCAACCTGGTGATTAGTGCTGCAACTATTACTACTGCTAGTACGGCCTTGCTACTGTTGTTGAGGATTTGGTGTTATTTGCATTTCTTTCTTTCTTTCTTTCTTTCTTTCTTTCTTTCTTACAGGACCCATATTGTATTTATTTCTATGCTAGCCCTATTAAGGCGGTTCTCACAGCCTACCATACGCGCTGATTCTTTCAGACGTTTAACACTTCAGTGTTCCTTCTTGTCTAGTATTTTCACTTCATTTCACAATGGTCTATGATGACCTTTTTCCCGCCATACATGATCAGCCACGCCCGAATTCATTCTCTCTCCTTGTTATAATGGAATACACCTATTTTATAGTTAATAGACTCTCCCACCTATAATAAGTAGGAGTAGTAGGAGTAACGAGAGAAGTCGCTCAATGGGGTGGGTCAGTCAGTCGATGCCGAACGACCGTTAGTCGAATACTAAAGTATCAGCGACCACAACTAGATTACTTTGCGTCATACCTATTATATCAAGTTCATAACGTTTTGTACGTCGAACCTATTTTAGAACAGACTTAGTACAAATACAAGCCTCCACTGTGAAATCACTCCACAACACTCCTCAATACGGCTGTTTCTCCAGCCCTAATTTCAGTATAAAGTGAGGAAGGAGAACATCGAAAATTTGTTTAAATACATTCATTGAAGAATAAATTTTGATTCTAAAAATTGCACATTATTTCCCGAACAAGCAAATAGACATCAAGTGGAAAGCGATCAAAGTATTAAAACTCAGTAAAAGGTATTTGGAAACAAAGGAACGATTAATGAACTGTTATATAAAATCTAATCTGGAGCGCCTCGAGGTGCTGTATGGTAAGCAAGCTTGTCTCGCTAGAACAATTACGACTGAGTAGTGAGTTCAATCCTCATGGGTGCCCCATACTTTCGGACTCGTGCCACATCTGAGCTACGCTTGGAAAATCACTTTAAAATCTAATCTCCAATTTGGTAGAACATATGAATAACAGGGAATGCTTAAGTAACGTCGAAACTACAAAGAAAGGTATAATTACAATCAGAATGAGAATGCTGACATTTCTACGTGGCATAACGAGGATCTTGAGAATTTAAAACCCATAGAATATACTAAAGGCAACTGATTTTTTTTTATTGTTTCCTTTTTACGGTTTATCAGCATCTATGGTTTATCTAAAGCCAGAAAATATTTTTAGATTAAAAGAATTTTTTTTATGTGGAGAAAATAATGAGTTACGGATAAAAATGTAACTAATTAATCCATAGTTGCGGGGTAGAAGAGGTAGATTTCTACCTTTCCCAGTATATTCACTTACGTACAAATGCAGGTAAGTGAATATAACGAACCCAGTTGAAATTAGAACACGGATCTCCGATTAACAATTGCGGACTATTATGAATTACACCACCCGATCATCCACGGTTGCAGCCACTGGTTTTCCTAACCCATCAAACATCTAAGTACTGACATGGCTCGAATTTGCTTAACTTCGGTGATCATACGGGAACTGCTATTTCAACATGATATAGCCGTAAGCAAGAGAAAAATCAATAATGGAAAGCAAAAGGTCAAAACAAAATACAGGAGAGCCATGATCACCCGTGTCTTTAGAACACATGGTACGAAGAAAAGGAAAACAAGGCCTGATGTTATAATATTTTGTCATGCAGTTTTTATGGGTGGGAGCACTTCATTGAGAAGCTGGTGCAAAAAAAAATGTTCACCTTCTATTTCCCAATTGGCATTTTTGTGTGCTTGGCAAAATTGAATAAATATCAGGTGTGCGAACATATTCTCTATGCTATTTTTTGTTGAAAACGAAACTGAATACACAGGTGAAAACTTGATTTCATTTCCATACACCGAATCTTAAAAAAAAAAAAAAAAAAAAGGAAAAAAAAATGTCTTCTCCATTGATGCAAATTTCTTTGGTTGAGTCAAAATTCAGTCGGTTGATGGATTGATACGCAAATGAAAGAGAGACAGTGAGAGAGAGATTGCTAAGATTTATAAAGTGATTGATAGAAAATACGAGATTCACAGAATCGAAATAGATAGGCACAAACTTGCAAAAGTTAACGTGATTATTCGTGTATAATATGCACTCTAGTATAATAGGAACGCGTATATAATACGCGCTAGGGTATATAAAGTCTGATCAAAAAGTATCGGGACTGATGCTGTAACAATCTTACTACAACATATATTTCGGTATTTAATCTCTTTCTTTATCCAACGTCATTTCCACTGATGGGAGCATTCCTGGAACTACTTTTGGGGGATAGCAAGCAAGTACCTTGTCGCATAAGCTTCGATTTCCTCGACATCTTTCAATCTTGTTCCTTCCAAGTAGGATTTGGTTGACGGACCCTTTGAATATTTTTCTTGGATAAAAAAAGTTGAACGCGTCATGGTCACTAATGGAACTTCTGTGGTGTGGTTTGGTGTGGTGACACAACCACACTCAACACGTTTTCCTTCTGTACACTGCAAATAAACAAAGGAAGTGAGCGAGAACGTTATAACTTACTGTGCATACATGACTGTGTTCGTGATCAATCTGTACCGATGTCGTCACTTTGCGTACTCCGTTACCATAGCAACAGTCTCGATAGTTTTTTTCATCAGACCTCATACAAGGAGACCTTCTTTTAGGATTATAAAAATTCTTGAGGGAAGCAAAACATCTTTCTAGAATTTCGAGCAGCTAAATTTAACCAAAAATTATTCCATTCAAATTCGTTTTGGGATAAAAATAAAAGTTTCGTTTTTTTTTTTTTGTTTTCTCAAGTTCTTCGTCGAATTGCAATTGGGTTAGTTAGGTTCCGGCTCTGCGGCAAAACTTTCCAGATAGAACACTATTAGAAGTGTTAGTGAATAACACCACCATCGTGATTGCGGAGACGGGACAGTATTTCTCCTCATTTCATATGTATGCCTACAGCCATCCAAAATTAAACCGACCATGCGCCGTTAACTACCGCCTTGCTGAGGTTAGATACCACACTCTTTAATCGGTCTTGTCGCTTCTCAAGCCTTTTGAATGTGAAATAAGTGTAGTTATGTTTTCTCTTCAATTGAGATTGAAGAAGGCGTCAGGAAATTCCAACCCTGCCGCAGCACTCTCCTCATTTCACTAGGAGTGGTGAGGTCGATGTAATATCGACGCCAGATTGACAGTTGTGGAGGCTAGGAAATTTCTGGCTTTGCATTATGCATATATATGCGTGTGGACAACGCCCATATATAACTAAGTTCACATTCTGTCTTAGTGAGGTTGTCAGTAAAATAAACGCTCCTTATCCTGCCGTCTAGCTAAAGATCAAAGTGTAGTATTTGTCCTCGCTTCGTTTTAAAAAAAATTTGGTATATCTTGTACAAGGGATCCAAAAACCGCGATCGCAGCTCTCTCAATGCAGTAAAGAGAGATGGTTGTTAGATACCAACGTCAGAGTGGCAATGAACCTAGGGATTGAGCAAATTTTTGCTTTGGTCTTTATGTCCAAGCTTTGCATTTCCCTAGGCAGGCTAGTAAATAAATGATCAAAATATAGTATCTGTTTTAACCCACTTCGCCATAATTCTACCTCCGAATAGTTCATGGTTTTGTAAGGGAAGAAGCGTAGGCACTGACATGGTTACCCTACGTCAGCACATCTCCGATAATGTTTTCGGGATCATGACAGCATTGCGACTGGGTTCCCTCTGACTGAGCATTTCTTTTGTCTTTGTCTTATATATACGCGTATAGGAACCCAAAGTAATACCGACTTTGCCTCATATAATACCAACGGTTGTGCGCAAAGAAAATTCAGATTCAACGCTTATGTACCTCAGAACAAATATGTAGTATATATTCTCCTTTTGTTTTTTGTCTCGTTTGCGGTGTTTCAAAGAAGGACGTTTCGTCTCAGGGATAACAATACTTCAGCAGCATCTCTCTCATTGAACTAAATTTGGACGACTCGTGGATATCGAAGCCAGGGTGAGCGGACACAATTCGTTAAAAACAAAATAAAACAACAAAAAAAAAACTGTGCAAGAATCACTGAAGAATCATAGAAGAGAACTGGAATCACTGGAAATATACAAACACGAAAGAATAATTTTAAGAAAATGATCTGAGAAGAATAAAAAAAAGGTTGAGAAACAAGATGAGTATTTTGACAAGCATGGAAATATTTAAAGAAGCTTTGGTTTGCAAATATAAACAGAGAGAAATGTTGAAAATATTTGCACTAGTCATGAAACCAATGAAGCTAGAAAACAAAACAAAAAAATAATCTAGACGAGAAACGTTTAAGATGGATGATGAATTACATGTAAAATTGATTTTCTAAGTGCAACATTTAGTGGCTAAAATACAGGTACACTGGATGAACCTGATCGATGTGTTAGCGGTTGGGATCTTTAAAGAAACAATCAACAAACACGATTTAGAAGACGACTGAACGGAGTGGATTTAAATGCATATTTTACCCAAATAAATATACATGGAAGATCTTAAGAACATCGCTGAATGTTTTACCAAATTTATATGATAACAAAAACATGTGACATAGCTTACTTTGTCCGGCTGTTCCTGCTGTTTTGTTGATAGTGGAAGCCAAAGAACGAAAATGTTAATAGATATTTTTACTATTATAGTATAGACAAAAATGGCGGCAACTTTTAGAAAGATTTAATAGTAAGATGCACTGAAGATTAGAAATTATGTATATAGATTCTATAAAACGAAGATAAAGATTTCACAACAAAATAGAGGCGATTGAACTATTTAATTAATTTATATCTTTGCATTCCTTTAGACGTCTAACATTATCTAGGATTAATTGATTACTCCTGGTATTATATAAATCGCTTTTTGCTCAATATCTTTTCATCTTAAAAATTTGAAGTGTTTAATATAACAGTGAAATGGAAATATCTCTCGGAAAGAAAAATAAGATTAGCATTGACTATGAATATTACAGATGCTGATATAAAGGGTGTAGAAATGGATAGTTGCTCGGATTGGGGGTCGAGTTATAATTCCAGCCGAATCCAGTGCATTCATTTACGTGATAATACACTTGGGAAAGGTAGGAACCGCTTCTTCTCCCCCACTTATAGGTAAATAGCAGAACTATATAGCCTTGGGTGGCAACCGGTCTAGGACAAGGACAAAACTCTGAATTAAAACCTGTGGAGGGCTGTTTGGAGATTTTGTGGCGCATTGTTCACCGGTTCTCTGTATTTGGCACTTCCAAAAAATTGTCGTATGTTTTGCATTATCATTTACTACAATGGCCAAGTCTGGTAGTCTCTTTTTGAGTTGCTTGATCCGCATATGTCGAAATCGAAAGGAAGCCCATTATAATTAGAAAGAAAGAAAGAAAGAAAGAAAGAAAGATATGAATAAAAGGGAAATTGTTTAAGTTATAATCTATTCAAAGTACAGCACAAAGAAATAAATACATATGAAGAGACTCAGATTAACAAATAGATAGATATAAACTTATTGATAGATGAAAGATACCTTTTGGTTTGTTGACGTAACTATGCGTAGTAATCTATGTGTATTACAAGTAGAAATGAATAGATATGAATTCACTGTGATAGATAAACAGATAATAGATATAAACGGATTGAGATAGATAGATAGATAGATAGATAGATAGATAGATAGATATCACTAAACAGTGATAGAAAAAGGTAACATTATACTAATCGGTTGAGGAAAGAATAAATATTTGCACAACATCTTTAAGTCTATAATAATTCATGTCTTACTCTCTGGGGTTTTAGCTAAATTTGACAACATTTTTAAAATCTTTATATGATTTATGACATATATTCTTTCATTATCTGTGACCCATATAATATTCTAATGTATACCTGAAAAAATATTATTATTATTTTTATCATTATTATTCTTGTTGTTGTTGTTTGCATAATCAGCTGAAGTGAAAAATTCAAAAGAAACGATAAATATATAAAACAAATTAAGTTGCTTTTTCAAATTTTATTCTTGGCAGAAGCATTATTCTTTCATGATTCACTGAATTGATCTTGTCAATTTCTTATTCTACTTTTACTTTCACTTTGGTGTTCATTTTTACACTCTTTATTATGGTGATCTTAGAAGAGGTTAAAAAAAAATATGGCGGTATAACTTAAAAATGGCGACCGACATCCCGACTGGCACTTTTGGTTTCATATCAAGATAACCTACTGAATAATGTTATTTCAGAATATAAATATAACGTTGTATGGCGGTATGTAAGGCGGTAGATGCTTGTTCCCCTCCGGTGAAAGTTGTATTGTTGCTAAATGTAAAGCCTGGGAAATTTAATTGTGATTTTTCTCAAACACACATATATCTTTGATTTAGATGATTGGTGTGTCGCGGCTTTTCTGCCCTATATTCACGTTTCACTTTGCATTTTCAAGAAGATTTTATGCTTAAAATACGAAAATTGATTGGATATTGTGTAAACAGAATGTTACTTTCTTCGGGTCAGAATTTGGCGCGTGTTTGAGTTCAGGTAAGAGT